TCTATCTATCTATCTATCTATCTATCTATCTATCTATCTATCTATCTATCTATCTTTGTTCATTCCAAGGAAAACCATGATGTGGAATGTCTTTATGTAGAAGTATGGATTTCATTGCTTTGAGGGGTTCAGATGGGGGTGGGCTAAGCATAGATGGACAATGACCACATGTTCCTGGAGATAATTGCATTTCTCTCACCTATGTTACCCTTTATAGGCCTTCAAGAGCGCTACAATGAGCTCATACTGGTGTGCTGGAAAGGGCGATGTCATTGATAACTGGTGTCGCTGTGACCTGAGTGCCTTCAGCAAAGACGGCCTACCTAACTGCAGTCCCCTCAGGCAGCCCATGTAAGTGTGAGGGGACACCTACAATTTTATATCAAGGAGAGGTTTTCTCAATGAATGCAAAGGTTTTAAATGAACACATACATGCAAACACACATACATATCTTTGCCAACTCCTGGGGTACTTGGGACTGTTGTGGACAAAAGGTTGGTTCCTAAAGTTCTAATAGCTGTGAATGGACTTCCCACCCTCCCTCCCTTACAAAAAAAATAAAAATACATACCACCCTTCAAGGTGTTCCAATAATGCTTCTGAAGCATTTGTAGGGCATGCCCTCAAGTAATTGCTGCCAGGGTGTCCTGCAAAAGAATGTTAGGTTTAAAAGTCAACACTGTAGAGGACAGAGCAACTAAAAGCATCTGATTTATGAATGATAGTAGAGTTTCATTTAATTTCAGTTGCCTTAGGGCCCAGTCACACCTTGACAATTTTGCCAACGTAATGCCAACGTAAAATTTGGCAAAAATGCTAGCATATTTTGAATAAGTTATGACCACGCTGAAGTACATCGACATATGGTTAATATGGCACATCAGCATATGGTTAGTGCCAGCGTATGCTTATACTTGGGCCATAAGTTAAACGTAAGTTATCTGAATGTTGACAAACGTTAAGTGTAAGTTACTCATAAGTCATGGTGTCTAGCTTATCCAAAACCTATGAGTAACTTGTGCATAACTTATGCGTAACTAATCAAGAACTTATCTCCAATGCATATTGACGTATGCGGGTATATTTGACGTGTTCCAGATCACCGCTGAACATGTTTCTAACTTACACCTATTGTATAATGGCGTATTGGCAGCGTTTTGGTATAAAAGTTGTTCACAGACTTCATGGTGCATAGTCGTATCATAAGAGATGGAATGATGGATGGATAAGAGCTGTCCCCCAACATCAGCATGATCTTATCAATGTGACTCTGTTCCAGTTGTAGGGTGAGCATGAAGGTAAGTGTGATTGATCCTTCCTGCTTTCATGCCCACGGCCATGACCAGCAAACTTCCTAGCGGACATGACGCTGAATATGCTGTGACTGCAAACCTTCTTTCTTTCTTTTTGTTTTTACATTTTTTTTGGTAGGCAGTAAACAGCAGCTAGGTTAATACAGTGACTGCAAGCTTAGAGAAAGCTTCTTCTTGTGCTTTTTATGCAGGCCAGGCGCCTCAGGGCGCATTGCTGCCCTACTCAGGACAGTGGCTTGTGACATTTCATGGACATTACGCTGCTGTGAGTTTTGCATAAGGGCTGTCGTTGGACATACGCTCTGGACTCGTTATGAATACTGTATACATACGGCCAAAAAAAAATAAAAATAAATAGAAGGTTCAGCATATGCCGCTGTTTTAGAAAATTCAGTGACTTAAGCACACGCTGGCTAAATCATCAAGGTGTGACAGTGCCATTAGGTTGGGATTGCTGTTCTTTTTTAAATCAAATATGTCCCTCTTTTTTGTATATCCCAGTATACGAGTATCCAAGAGCTCATAATAAACTTCACTTTAGCACAATTCTCTTTTGAAATTTTGACAATGACATTACATTATAGAGGTTGTTGAAACAACATCAACTGCAAAAATATCAACAACCTTTGTCATCTAAGTTATTATGCTGGCTGTGTTACATTATAACACTGTTCATAATGTGATGTTTTTAGTATGCTATTACTGGTATAGGACATTTTTTTTAGTTTGTGTTCCTATTAACTTGTAGGCCAATTTGATTATTAGCCTACATAGACATGAATGAAAATTCATGCCGACTGTGTACACTTTCCTTTTTAACTAATCAAACATCATGTAGTTACAGATATTTGCAGCACTTGGGTAAATTAAAGTACAAGGAAAAGTGCATTCATTTAGAAGATAATACCAGAACAAATATATGTAATGCTAAATGTATTAGTAATTTCAACGCTGATCGTTTTTGTGTTCTATATTACTTTAGTCTGCGTCTAGCCCCTTACATGGAGCCCTCAAGCACAACAGTAGCCCTGGAGTGGATGGATGTGGAGCCTCTGATTGGCTGCAAAGTATCTGACTACATCATTCAACATAAACGCATAGAGGATCCTTCAGAAGCAGAAATCTACACAGGTAGAAAAAAATCAATTCTCAAGTTAGTTTTCTTAATATCTTTTAGTCCTTTGTTTTAACTGGATCATACTTTTTGGCATTTTGGTATTTATCTGTTTGTCAAGTTACTTAGTTACCTTTTGAGCAAGCACAAGTAGAGACTGACACTGCTCTTGAGCTGATGTATCTGTGAAGTATAGAGTTTTACCCTGACTTTGTTTTTAAAACATTTAAGGTAAGTGGTCTGAAAGTCAATTGGATGAATGTGAAACTTTTGCTAAGGTGTCTTATGACGTAGGGGGGGTGTGAGGGGTGCTGGCAATTGTATTTCCAGGTCGAGGAATTGGTCATTGTTCTGATCAGGGCCGGCATGAGTCATAGGAACAAGCCAGATCTAATCAAGAGACTAGGTGGTGTGGAAAAAAGTGGCCATAGACATTGAGAAGTATAGACAAGCCATCCATCACAACTGGGAGTGATGCTGATGAGGCGTGGGCACCAGCGAGCAGAAAGAGGGCCCAGACAGCTAGCCAGAGACGTGCTGGCAGAGGTGAGGCATGAAGGGGCAGATGGTGAGGGTGACTCACTTTTCTATGTGCCAGTCACCACTCATGTTGTAAGTTGTGTTTTAACGGATACAAAGTTTGGTTTCAGAGTTATTGTTTGCAAGTTTTTTGGTTCACCTTTTACTTACAGTATTTACTGTTCTTTAATTATTTTTTTTTATCTTTTACCTTATATGTCTTGATATATTAGTAACTTCTACTACATATGGTTTCAGGTAAGTATGATTGGTGAAAGAAGTCAAAGGATTAAAAGTTTTAACACTGTATAGCTTGTGTGACTGGGTGGAAACCAAAGAATCTATGTTTATATCTGAGATATTGACTTTGTCTTACTTTGTTTCTTTCTGTTATTGCTTTTTATTTTATTAATCCTTTTATACATCACTTTATTTATTGTTTTTATGATTGATTATTTGTATTTTATGATTGTTGAAAGTGCTCTATCAATAAATTTGGTATGGTATGGTATTTCTAAAAATAAAAATTAAAACAATTTTAACAAATTTGGATTGTATAGGATTGTAGGGGCATATAAACTTAAGAAATAATAAGTGGCACTAACATTTTAAATGCAGCATTCTATGGAATAATTAAATTAAATAAACATCCTTTAAGAAGGCCTTTTTTTTTATTCCTAGATTTGTGATATGCCAGATACATGTTTCACTCCTGTTACAGTTTATTTTATCCTAAAGTTGCTTTGAATAAAAACTTAGTTGAGCCTTGCATCACAGTTCATTCACCAGACAACAATAAATTGCCGTGTAAAAGCATTTGCCCCCTGTGAACTTTTTGTCCTTTTGCCACATTTTAGGCTTTAAACAAAAATAAAAAAAATTTTAATTATTTGTGAAGAAGCAACATGTGGGACACAATCATGAAGTGGAAAGAAATGTATTGGATATTTTAAATGTTTTTATCAAATAAAAAACTGTAAAAAATTGTTGTGTAAAATTATTCATCCCCCTTGAATTAATAATTTGTAGCAACAGTCTCTGTAAAGCACAGAGATCTTCATAAAGAACAAGGAAAACACCTGGCAGGTCTGAAATACTGTTGAGAAGTTTAAAGCCAGACTGGGATACAAAAAGATTCCTGCAGCTTTAAACATCCCAAGGAGCACTATGCAAGCGATAATATTGAAATGGAAGCCGTATCAGACCACTACAAATCTAGTAACACCCAGACATCCCTCTAACTGATCAGCTTAGACAATGTGAAGACTAATCTGAGATGCAGCCAAGTGGCCCATGATCACTCTGGATAAACTGCAGAGTTCTACAGATGATGAGGGAAGCTCTGTCCATAGGACAACAATCAGTCATATGCCTCACCAATCTGGACTTTATGGAAGAAAAGCATTTTTTGAAGATATCCATAAAAATTATCTTTTAAAGTTTGACACAAGCTACCTGGGAAGTTGCTCTGATCAGATGAAAGCAAAATCAAACTTTTTGGCAACATTGCCAAATGTTATGATTTGCATTAAAGCAACACAGCTCATCACCGTGAACGCACCACCCCCACTTTCAAACATGGTGGTGGCAGGATCATGGTTTGGGACTGCTTTTAATCAGCGGGTAAGATGGTTAAAACTGAGGGATGTTGATGGAGCCAAATACAGGACCATTCTGGAAAAAAACTTTTGGGATTCTGTCAAAGACCTGAGACTGGGACAGAGATTTAACGTCCAACAAGATGACCCAAAACATAAAGCAAAATTGGCAACGGAATGGTTCACAAATAAACATATTCAGGTGTTAGAAAGAGCTAGTCCAAGTCCAGACCACTATCCAAACGAGAATCTGTGGAAAGAACTAAAAAACACGGTTCAGAAATGCTCTCCATCAAACCTCACTAAGCTCCAGCTGTCGATGTGAAAAACTGATACAAACATACCCCAAGGGACTTGCAGCTGTAATCCCAGCAAAAGGTGGCACTACAAAGTATTAACTCAAGGTGGCTGAATAATTTTGCACACCCAATTTTCCAGTTTTTTATTTGTTAAAAAAGTAGTGTAAAGTATCCAATACATTTTGTTCCACTTCTTTATTGTGGGCTAAAAGTTAAAGGAGGCTGAATACTTTTGCAAGGCAATGTATCTGTAAGAAGTAATTCATTCCTCAAGTCTTTGGTTTTCTGCATTTCTCTTGTTTCCTGAGCGAATACGCAGTAAGTTTCCCGGTTGAAACTGCAAGCGGAAATCAATGATTGTTCAACAGAATTACATTGAACAGTGTTTTGGGTAAAATCACCACCCAAAGCTTAAGCCAGTAATGATAGTTGGCAGTGAGGCCAATGTGAAGTGTTTTTTTAAGGATTCACGCCTTAAATAAAGAGGCATTGTACAATATTGAGACATAAATGTATGTATGTGTCATCTAAATTTTTCTAGAGTTTCTTAATGTCAAATATTTAATCAGAAAGTAAAAAGGAGGACATTAATTGGCACAAACAGCATATTTGCATATTTCAGATGTGGTTAAAAAATCAAGAGGGGTATTTTAATGAATAATACAAAAAGTATAAAAAACAGTAGCATATATTTATTTCCATTTTTTATTTTTACCTGTTTTATTTAAATAGAGTAAAAGAAACCATGTCATTAAAATTATTTATTTGGAATTTACTCATACTTTCCTTGATAAAGTAGATGGGGCAGAGAGCATATTCTTGCTTTACATGAATGAATGCAGAGTGCAGATAATCAAAATGCCAACACCTTGCAGAAAGATTAATTGTTCTTGAAATCTTTGATTTTTTTTTTTTTGTATAAACCTACAAATTTCAATGTATTTTAAACAGATTATATTTAAAATGAGGGGCACATGTGAAGTGTAAGAAAAATGGTCTTTAGCATATTTTTTTTACAAATAAAAATCCCAGAAGTATGGCTTCTTCAAACAAGATCACATAGAAACAACATTTTGTTTAAAGTCATAGGGAAATCATATTTAAATGTCAAATCATTCTGGCTTCAACATGTATATAAATGTACTCTTTATCAGATGATATTGTCCCAAAAGTTAGAAAATTTCTATTTGAAAAAAAATCCTGTCTTAAAATATGTGTTGTTGTTTTTGTTTTTTTGTTATCTTATGCGGGCCAGTTAGTTATACATCACCCTGTACACCTAAATTCGGCCAATCTTCCTCCTCTTCCACAACAACTTCGTCCTCCCTTGACTCCTCGAAATAAAACATTTATGAAGGAGGAGACTCATCTACGACCTCCAAAACAAAACTCTCCTCCTCTTGCATGTTTCCACTGTCCATAGCGTTCCTTGACAGTGTCGTTGCTAAGTGCTACTTAGTCCCAATGTAATTTCCCATTGGGAACCTACTAGCACTAAGTTGTTAACTGGTTAACAAGATGATTCCGACAAACCGGCCACAATCAAAGTGCTTGTGAACCTTCCACCACAACAATCCCGCCCCCTTGATAAACGACCAATCATATTCACTTTATTCACTCGTGTAAAGAGGCACCACTCGGGAGAATTTGGAAATGCAACCGTTGGAACAGCCGTTTCCCTATGACTTTAAGTGCAAGTTTTAAAATGTTAAGGTTTGTGTTTTTTGCAAAAATGGGTCGCGTTATATCAAATTCTTTGTTTTTTACATCTTGAGACAGTTTCTCTTGATTTTGACACATGGCCATTTTAACACACAAATATACGTTAGTCCAAACCATTTTTGCTGTTTGTATCCGTTATATTCTTGTCCCACTGAAATGGGAACCACTGCATCAGTTTCCTGTCTTTTAGGATTCTTTCAATATTTTCCTGCATTTTGTTCCATCCATCTTCCCATCAACTGTGTTCTTCCACAGAGGGCATTTTTATGGCATACTGAAACCTCGCTGTGAATCTCCAACAACCTATCCTTGATCTACCTGTAAAATACATACATCTGAATAAAAATATCAACTAAGCAGTTCCAAGTGCAGTGGTTCTGATCCATTCAAATATAAAAATGGTTAACGAAACAGCCCATTGCGGTTGTGATCCTTTTCATCTGTACTGTATCTGAAAATAGAGTGATGAATATTCAAACTTTATAAGCTAAATGCTGTTAAAGCAGGCGTTGGTAAGACAGTTACTGACTCTCCCTAAAGTTGAGAAAATGCTTAGAGTGGAAGTCTGCGCTTCTTGTCTTTTTTCATTACTCGAGCTAGCCCCCCATTGATTGTAGGATTCTGTTGATGCATCTAAATAAAGCCTCTGTAAAACATTATGGTCTTCATTGGTTTCTGGGTTTAAATGTTGTATTAGTCAAGAAAGAGAAATAATTTCTGTTGGAATTTTTTTAGTTAACCTCTTACACCCTAAGGGGGTATAAATAAATTTCTGCCTGACAAAAACACACAAAAGTAAATAACTTATAGCCTCAATGCTATTAGATTTAAGAAGAAACTTTTGGTACGTCTGTAAAGGTAAGATGTCATAAAATGGTT